GGTGTCGGAAAACCAGCGACTCCAGCCGTTGTAGGACCGCCTCGGCTATGAGTCCCGAAATCGGCGAACCCAATGGCGTTCCCTTCACCTGCTCGTAGATTGTTCCGTTGAATGTAAAGTACGTCTTGAGACAGAACTTCAGGAGTTGGATGATTTGGGCGTGTCCGAGGCGATTCTCCGCTTCGTCCTATTTCTCTCGTAGGAGTAGTTCGATGGTATCGACTGCCAGATCCTGCGGGATAGAAGTAAAAAACGACGTGACATCAAAGGAAGCCATGATATCGCTTGGCTGGAGACTTACTCCTTTAAGTTTCTCCAAGAATTGCGTTGACGAGCTGAAGTTCTGTCTCAAGACGTACTTTACATTCAACGGAACAATCTACGAGCAGGTGAAGGGAACGCCATTGGGTTCGCCGATTTCGGGACTCATAGCCGAGGCGGTCCTACAACGGCTGGAGTCGCTGGTTTTCCGACACCACAGACCGAAATTTTGGGCTCGGTATGTGGATGACACCTTCGTCGTCATCGAACGGGATCAGGTGCTGACGTTCAAAGAACAACCCAACGCCGTCTTCCCTGACATCCAATTTACGATGGAGGAGGAGGAAAACAATCAGCTGGCCTTCCTGGATGTCCTCGTCTGCCGCATGCCGCAAAGATTGTGGTGGCCTAAAAACCAAAGTATCAGTATCAGTATCAGTTTATTAAGAGAAATATAGGCAAGCGCCTTTGAATTCCCTCGGAGAAAAACATTGATAAATGGGAAGGTGAAAAAGGTATTTTGTACATACTCGCGGACAGCTGGCAGCTAGCCGAAAAAGAGTAATCATTAATGGTTACGTACTAATTACAAGTAGTATAAACACATATAAGATGGTACCGGGTTATGTGAGTGGATGTGGGGGTGGTAATTGGGAAGCTTGATGCAGGTCAAGTTTACACTTGAAGGAGTTCACACAGGAGGAGGTTACAACATCTGTAGGTAGGGCATTCCAGGCTGCAACCACTCTGTTACTGAAAAAGGACTTTCGTCCATTGGTTCTTGATTTCCCTGCGCGTAGTTTTAGGGAATGACCGCGCAAAGTGGGCGTGTTAGCTTGGGTGAAATATTCAGTGGGATATAAACAACAGTCTAGGCCGTTAATGATGCGAAATGTTAGTATACGGTCACCACGTAATTGCCTGTAGGAAAGGGGAAACAGGTTTAGGATTGACAGTCTGGTTTCATAGGGCAGTGCTCCCAGACCTTGTGTCATTTTGGTCGCCCGTCTCTGGGCCTTCTCCAAGACGGTATAATCCTTGGCAGTCCAGGGTCTCCACGCCTGTATGGCGTATTCTAGATGAGGTCGCACGAAGGTGCCAAATATTTTGGAAAAGCAGTCAGGGTCAAATCCCATAAATGCTCGCCTAATGAGTTGCAATGTGGCCGTAGCCGATTTAGCCGCCTTCGCGCAGTGCAATGTTGGTTTGAGTGAAGATGTAATCCATACACCCAGGCCCTTCTGACTGTCAACCTGTTGCAGTGGTGTGCCGTTTAGAAAGTAGGTCCTGGGGCTGGGGGCTCTGAAGCCGCCGAGTTGAAGAAAGTTACACTTGCTTATATTGAAGGGCATAAGCCAGCGCTTCGACCAGTCTTCGAGCCTGTTCAAGTTTGCTTGCAGGTGGTCTGCGTCTGCCGCATCGTGAATAACTTTCCACAATTTTATGTCGTCGGCAAACAGGATGGCATCACAGTCTAGGTCCTTGACGCAGTCATTTACGAAAACGAGGAATAACGTGGGACCTAAGACTGAGCCCTGTGGGACGCCACTCACCACGCTTACATCTGAGGACTGTTGACGCCCGACCTGCACTCTCTGGGACCGTCCAGCCAGAAAGCTCTGGATCCATACAAGAAGGCGTCCACGAATTCCAGCGTTGCGCAGTTTGTACAGGAGACGTTGATGAGGAACGCTGTCGAAAGCCTTTTTGAAGTCGATGTAGATGGCGTGCACCACCTTGCCTTCATCACGTGCTTTGGTCCAGCGTTCGAGAGCAAAGAGCATATTCGTGAGGCAGGACCTACCACTTCGAAAGCCGTGTTGGGCATCAGAAAGGAGATGGTGCTGCTCGAGGAACTGTACCAAGGCCTTCTTAATGATCTTCTCCATGATTTTGCAACAGATGGAGGTAAGACTCACTGGCCTGTAGTTATTCGCAGACGCACGACTTCCACCCTTAAAAAGCGGAGTGATGGTAGCGGACTTCCAGTCAGAGGGCAGGC